TACACAGTAATATTGATGTTAAATAAAAATAAAGTAAATTAGAATAAAGTTTATTTTCAATAAATATTACATAGACCATTTTATTTGAATATGTTTTAATATTTAATAAGCTGGTTATTCTTTCCAATTAATACATTAATAAATTATTCACTTAAAGTGTAAGTCTTACACTAAAATCATAGTGCAAACACATTATGAAACTTTTTACAATAGCTATAATTAATGAAACCCCTTTCATACCCTCACAACAATTGTTAAATAAAATTTAATTTCCAAATTCATCAATTAAACATGGACATTAAAATTGCTAAAATTACTTTCATCTTAAAATCATCAATAATTAGTCTCAAAGATAGCAAAATAATAATTTATTTCCTTTTATATTCTATAGATGTTTTGACAATTGAATTAAATATGAATATTAATAATTATTATTACTTTTGTTAAACTTAACGTTTAATTAAATTAATGTTTTGATTAACAAATAATTGCTTACAATAATTGAAAAAATTTTGGTATAAATACTGGTAAACCACTCGTAAAAATATGTGTGCAAAATAGTGAACACAAATAATCAATTTTTAACTTAAAATTAAAACACATTCAAAATGTATTACAAGGAATTGAATGTGATTTTTAGTGAGTATAACAAAAAGTAAGATTAAAATTATTTTAATGTTATATTTTAAACAGTTGTAACGATAGGATTTATAAGAGGTTATGAGAGTTGTGGAATGACCGAGCAACAATTGGATGATTGTATGTACGATACCATGTTCTTAGGCAATCCCGAGTCCATCGTTCCCACAAATGATGCTCAGATGACACAACATTGCAGGTACGACACTCATTATGATTGTTTTATCATGTTTAAAATATTGTCTGTAAGTAACATTTATCGGGATAATAATATAAAACTAGTTAAAGCAATATAAAATGTACAGTATAATTTAATTTTAATCAGAAATTTAATATAATTCGTTTATTACAGTTTAGTAAACTGTAAACTGAGTTTACCAAATACTGCTGACAGGATATTATAACATTGTTATGAATAATTATAGTACTGTACATAAACATTTATATTGGACTTTCAACCAATAATGAGTCAAACAATTATTTCGTAAACAAAACTGTAATACCTTGAATGAATTACTGTATAATATTACAATTTATTAGCCCTTCCTCTGGCCGAGAGGTTTAAGGGACTTATAAACCCGAGAACCGGGGTTCGATTCCCCGGGGGGCTATATATATTTCACCAGGTTAATTGACTTTTTCATATAAAAAAGGATATGCTTGTAAATGATGTTAAAACTATTGTAGTAATAAATTCTATAATTTATGTTTTCTGTGTTTTCTAAACTGTTAAACATTTCCCAATGGTGTATATCATAGTAAAATGATGACCGGGATCAAATGCGTGAAAGACTACTCGGACACGTGTCTAACTGGTTTCGCTAAACAGATGACAGGTATGGTTAGCGATAGTCTGAGCAAACATTTGGACACACAATGCAATCAACCGAAAGAAAGGGCGGAATTCATCGAAAACATGAAATGCTTTGAGCCGAAGGAGAAGATGACACCATTGCATGTCTGCACCGATAAACACACGAAGGCTATGGAATTGGTCTCATTGATGAACAAAGGGGATCCACACATGCAGTTCATGTGCTGCGCGTATCAACTGTTCCGCCGGTGTATCACTAAAGAGGTGACACAGATCTGCAGCGTTGGACACTCGCAGTTCTGGGACGAGATGTTTGATGAAGTGGTCAGTCATTTCACAGCCCAAAGTGATCGCGTAATGTGTTAACCATTTTTGTGTTTGTTATGGATAGGCGTCGGAAGCGGTGACGATGGCCTGCAGTGACTTGAATTCGGTGGACAAGTGTTCCGCCAAACTGGACGCCGCGCACTGGACTCAACTCAAGACACTGGACGAGGCAACTGATCCCAGTGTGTGGCACCATGGTGCGCGTACTCCCATTAAATTCATGCTGGAGATGATTAAAAAGTTTAATTAATAACTTTGTATTAATACCGGACTTAAATGATTATCAGTATTAAGTATTGATTAAAAAAAATTACCGCTTTATTAATTTGGTTAATAATTTTTTGTTATTTTTATTGATTA